CCTTCTTAGCACAAGCAGTGAAGACAAGTCACGGATACAGTTCCTATAGGAACCGAAAGTCTCACGAACCGATAGTCTCTATAGCAAAAGGTACAAATATATAGTGATCTCTCAGTGATTTTTACTTGTGTCACTTTTTTGTTCTATTTTGATTCTTAATTGAGCCTAAATGTATCATCATATTCACTTCCCATAAGGTTGACTGTGTGCTCGTTTGTTAACCTTATGGTATGGTTGCGCGGCTAAATTGACATCTGGCACTAGCGCCATCTAGTGTCGGGTAACGGAGCGAGGGGAGAGCTTTCCAGAAAATGACATCACTAATCTTTCAACCGACAGCGCCATCTGTTGTCGAAATGAAGAACTAAGCTTCTGGAAGCTGACTCTCGAACTTTCGGCGCTTTGTCGATTGGTGCGCGTATTTACTTCAATGTTCGGGATGATTCGGTACTAATGTGTATTTATAGGCGCTGCAAGGTGCGATCGGGGGAAGTATTGAATTTGGCGAGACAAGTGAAGCTTCGGAGCGGAATAAAGTGAATTAGTGTGCTTAATTATTCGTGTTTTAAGTTTTGATTTGTGTAAACGAGGAAACGGAGGGTGTCCGTACTCGAAGTCAACGCCAACAGGAGATGGACCAAAGAAGATTTGGTGGTGCAACGCCGCAGACGTCGGAGGGCAAGCCGCCGGCTGCAGGCCCGTCAGTAGCTCCTACATCTGTAGCACCTGATTTAGGTGCTCTGATAGTGATGCTGCAGGAGCAGGCTCACCGACAGGAGGAGCAGGCCCATTGGTTGAAAGAGCAGCAGGAGGCGCAGGCTCGCCGACAGGAGGAACAGGCCCGTCGGTTGGAAGAGCAGCTGCGGGGCGGACAAGAAGAACAGGTCCGTCGTTTGGAAGAGCAGCTGCGGGACGGACAACAGGAACAGGCCCGTCGGTTGGAAGAGCAGATGCTCCTCATGAAGGACCTTCACGCTACCTTCGGGAAGGAGATCAAGGAGGTGAAGGATAGGGTTGCTCAGCATGACAACCGCCTGTCAGAAGCTGAAACCCAAATCGCGAAAGCTGAAACCCGAATCGAGAAAGCCGGAACCCGAATCGACCAAGTGAACAATCGGGTTGATAACGTAATGACTGACATGAAGAAATCACTGGACGAACTCAAACTTGGGGATGGAATTACAGCTAGTAGCTACTACACCTTCGCTACGTGGGTTCAAGGTGCCACCGTTCGACAGGACTTCTTCCTGTACTGCCTACAAAATCCAGTTCGAGGCTGTAATAAAAGCGAACGGCTGGAATAAAAGTCAGGCCATGACTGCTCTCACACTAGGCCTGCACGACCAGGCCTTAACAGTTCTGGAAGCTCTCGGTGAGGAAGTGACTTATGAGCAACTCCTTGTGGCATTGGAGGCGAGATATGGCGACGCTCACCTGGAACACGTCTTTCGTGCGCAGCTTAAAGATCGCGTGCGTATCAACTGCGTATCAACTAAAACCTGCAGCAATGGGCTCTAGAGGTGGAGAAGCTGGTGCGAAAAGCATACCGGTTTATACCTGCGCACATTGAAGGGAACCTGGTGCAGACATTCGTCGACGGCATCCGCGAACTGGAAGTCAGAGCTGCTGTGAGGCTTGGGCACCACGAGACGCTTAAGGACGCCTTGGCCCATGCACTGGAGGTGGAAGCCGTGCGGCAGGATCATCGTTCCCATCGCGTCAAGGATGTTGCAGCACCTACAGTTCGTGAGCGCGATAAAGGATACAGCCCTAGGTGCTATGGCTGTGGGGAAAAGGGCCATTTTCGATCCAGCTGCCCTAAGCGAACCCTAGAAAGGGAAGTTGAACGATCTCAGGAGGGTATTGCGGCCAACAGCACCGCCCAGAAGCAGCAGGGAAACGAGTAAAGGCCAGAACTGCGGGGCGGGTGCTGGCTGATGTTAAAAGAGCCCCAAGGATCGCGATCTCACAAACCCATGATGGGAACAGTCTAATCATCAAGGGCGAGGTCAACGGAATGCCGTGTAAACTGACAATAGACACTGGAGCCTCTCGTACGGTTGTTAGTTCCCAACTTATAAGTCAGTTCCTTGAGGACTCCGCATGCAACCGAGAACGCATTAATTTGGTAACAGCCACCGGTCAGCGTATACCTGTCCGTGGAGAGAAGGAGATGGAGTTGAAGCTAGGCAACGTGATCTACCTGCATAATGTCATCGTGGCTGATATAATGGACGACTGCATCTTAGGCCTGGACTTTATGAGGAATAATTGTTTTGAGATCGACATTAAGCAAGGTGTTTTGAAATGTGGAAAGGAGGAACTTTTTATGGAAGGTGCGTTATCAGGGAACGTGTACAGCATTAAGAAGATTGTTCTTCCGCCGAAATCGGAAACGGTTGTTCCGGTTAGTCTTCCTCGAAACGCTGGGAAAGCTCACCGTTGTGTACTTGTGGAAAGGGTAAACAATGACCTTTCATGGAAAGTAGCTTGAACCTTGGTCAGAACCACTGACATCTCAGGAGTACGTGTGCTGAACCTTTGTGACCGGGAACAGATTATAGAAAAAGGCACGCAGGTTGGTACTTGTGAGGAAGTGGATTGGTTACGTCGGTGCCAATATCTATCCAGTGAGACCCCCAGCAAGGATGCACAAACGAGAGTGACCTCACTTTTGGAAGACTTTCGCAGCGTTCTCTCCCCGACCGAAATGGTCAAGGCGAAGAAGTTGTTACTCAAGTATGCCGATGTATTCTCATCAAACGATACTGACATAGGAAAGACTGGCTTAGTTCAACACAAAATAAACACAGGAGAAGAATTGCCTATCCGTCAGCGGCCAAGAAGATTGCCGGTAGCACGTGAAAAGGAAGTGGAAACCATAATTGAAGGAATGGTAAAGGGTGGTGTTATTGAACCTTGCTCTAGTCCATGGTGTTCACCAGTGGTGCTGGTAAAGAAGAAGGATGGCAGCATGTGGTTTTGTGTTGACTACCGCCGTCTGAACGACGTTACGTAGAAGGACAGGCTATCCCTTGCCAAGAATTGATGATACGCTGGACATGCTTACAGGAGTAAAGTGGTTTAGCACGCTAGATCTAAAAAGTGGCTACTGGTAAGTTGAAATTGACCCCAAGGACAAGGAGAAAACTACGTTTTCGACGGGAAAGGGTCTGTGACAATTTAAATTAATGCCGTTTGGTTTGTGCAACGTTTGAAAGGCTGATGGAACTTGTACTTGCCGGGCTAATTGGCGATGCCTGTCTGGTCTACTTGGATGACATCATCATCGTGGGCCGTACGTTTGAGAAAAACCGGAAATAATTTGCACTGTAATATTTAAAAGAAAACTATTAACAAAAAGCACAGGCGATCCCACTTCTGATGCTATTTTCATGGAAAATTAAACAAAGAACTAGGAAAAAATATTGGTTCAGAAATAAACTTAAATTGTCCTATTAAGCTAAAAAGGAGCTGTTAAAATTTTCTTCATATCAAGGGACAAATTACGAAAGGAATTTAGCTAATTTAAAATAATATATTTACAGAAAATATCTTCACACATATTCTAACCACAAGTCACAATAAGTAAAAATAAGCAAGACATAATGGAAATATACTTAACTTGTTAATGTGAAGAATAACCAAGTACTCAAACGAATTTCTTTGAATTCAGAGTATTTATAAGATTACCCCCAATGTCGCTTTTATTTTTCTACAATTGAACAACTCGTAACACATTGAAATAATACTAGTTTTTACGGAATTTATCGTGTATATTTAACTTTTTAAATACCCGACGTTTCGAACGCTTTACAGCACTCATGGTCACGGGCGGGACTGAGATGTTCAACGTCCAGATGTCATAGTTAACTGCGGTAAATGATCAAAGTCTGACTGAAAATGCTGATCTGACTCGACTCTCTTTATTTCTATTTTCATATCTATGCATAAGCAGCGATGTGACAAAATATGATATCGCATCTTTTCTTTCTTCATATCTGTGTATAATAAACACCCACTAAACAAGTTACAAATGGTAACACAACAAATGTGGTGGTACAAATGGTATATATATATATATATATATATATATATATATATATATATATATATATATATATATATATATATAACTAGTCGAGCGGAGTCTGTGGACACGTACAGGATCGCCCACGTCACTACATCAGATTTGAGAGACCACAAATCCTCGCTAAAGAACACCGATCCCTTCCAAGGATGATTCGCGAGGCTATTGAAATCAAAAAACTTCCTAATTTCAATATAGAAGATGGCTGGGTGCTATCATCTGCTTGGGATCCTATAATAAATAAAATTAAATCCCAACCCAAGCATACAACTGCAAGACTTCAAGATACCATAAGTTCATACTGTGTAGATCGGAACAAAAGTTAAATTTTAATCTATTGTAACCGCAGTTAACTATGACATCTGGACGTTGAACATCTCAGTCCCGCCCGTGACCATGAGTGCTTTAAAGCGTTCGAAACGTCGGGTATTTAAAAAGTTAAATATACACGATAAATTCCGTAAAAACTAGTATTATTTCGATGTGTTACGAGTTGTTCAATTGTAGAAAAATAAAAGCGACATTGGGGGTAATCTTATAAATACTCTGAATTCAAAGAAATTCGTTTGAGTACTTTGTTATTCTTCACATTAACAAGTTAAGTATATTTCCTTTATTATGTCTTGCTTATTTTTACTTATTGTGACTTGTGGTTAGAATATGTGTGAAGATATTTTCTGTAAATATATTATTTTAAATTAGCTAAATTCCTTTCGTAATTTGTCCCTTGTTATGAGGAAGATTTTAACAGCTCCTTTTAGCTTAATAGGACAATTTAAGTTTATTTCTGAACCAATATTTTTTCCTAGTTCTTTGTTTAATTTTCCATGAAAATAGCATCAGAAGTGGGATCGCCTGTGCTTTTTGTTAATAGTTTTCTTTTAAATATTACAGTGCAAATTATTTCAATATGGATTTGGAATTGGTGAAAGGGCTATTGGAAACCATCCGAAATGCAATGGTTTCAAATAAGCGGCACGACGACGTCGCGGTGCCAATTTTCGATCCGGACGAAAGCAACGACGGAGCAGCTGCCTAGTGCGAAAGCTTAGATAATTTGGGAGACTAGTTAAAATGGAGCAGCTTTGAGAAGGTTGCAAAAGCCGGTAAGGCCCTTCGGGACGCTGCATTATCCTAGTTTGAAACTTGGGAGCCTGAGACAGTAGATCATGGGAAAAATTCAATAAAGATATTGTCTGTTTACCCGATAAATAAAAATCTTAGTGATAAACTGTTAAACGCTGTGTTAAACACATCGGATTCCGCAGATTCTCTTGATGGTTATGCTATGTAGAAATTAAGACTATTAAAATCCACCTAAATATGTTTTACTGAGTGCCAACAAATAGAGCTTGTTTGCGGTGGAATTAGCGACATAAATTTAACACATTGAGTGCAAAAAGCCTCATAGTGAAGTCTGTGGTCACCATACAAATGTTGTGCTATGCATTATTACGTTGCTGGCACTCACTAGAAAAAGTATCCCATGGATGCCAATCTACGCAATAGTACGTATTCGTAATATTGCGTAGTCTGGCACCAATTACAACCCTTTCATTATATGATGCCAGTCTTCGCAATATTACGTATTCGTAACATTGCGTAGCTTGCCATCTCTGTTACTTATATTCGTCCTGCTTACTCCTGCATTGCTAGGGGACACCCTCCCCACTGCCTCTGCGCCCCCGTTGACCAATAGATTATTGAGTCACTTTAGTATCGCGCCACCCTCTCAGGAAGAGTGACATTGAAATAGGTGATGTATTGAAATGCAACGCGGACGCAGTGAAACTCGTCGTATTCTGCGCGGTCGCCACTCTTTGCGATCATCAGAACGACCGCCTTTAAATGAAAGCCAGCTTGCTAGAGTATTAGAAGAAGAATCTTCAGACGGGGATTTTTAATGAAGATCGGGTGACAACTACGTTGCTGAGCTCGATATTAACCAGACTGAATCAGAAAGTAGTGATATAACATCTCTGTCTGAAGAAGAAGTTGCCTGAACTAGGGGGTGGGAGGTGATGTGGGGGGAGGGTGAGAAGTTGTAGAGTCACCCCCTAATTTCCCACCCCCCTTACGTGTCTTGTTTTTATTTTATAAATTTTTTGATAGAATCAGGCGTTACCTTGCGGAAATTCCTTACAATAAAGACATTAATATTTCATTCGCAACCACCCCTTTAATTAAACACAATGATTTGTCTTACCTGAATTGAAGAGCAAGAGATTTCCTGAAATAGTTGTGTTGGGAGTAGTGGTATTGGGAGTAATGGTGCTGGGACTTGTGGTGACGGGACTGGTGCACGCAATTGAGTGCGGCAGTTGCTCTTTAATCCAGGCAGGAAACATCATTGTGTTTTATTAAGCGGATGGTTGCGAATTAGATATTAATGTCTTTATTATAATGAATTTCCGCAAAGTAACGCCTGATTCTATTAAGAAATTTATAAAATAAAAACTAAGCACGTTCGGTAGGGAGGAGAAGTAGGGGGTGACTCTACAACTTCTCCCACTCTCTAGTTCTGGCGACTATATTGTAAACCTTACCCGAATTTTGCTCAAGGGGAGGTAATTTAAGAGAAATTACTATCGCAAAAGAAAAACTTAGGTTGTGGCTACGAGAATGGTTAGAACAAAATATTGAATCAAAAAATTTGATTGAAAATATTACGTAATAAAAAAACTCATTTATTTGTAAAATATTTCTAGATTAAAAAAATATTATACACATTCTCTTACTTGTGAATATGTTCAGAAAAAAATGATTACTTATAATATAGTTTGGTACATATTCAATTATGTGACTTTCTATAAGATCAAAGTCTGACTTAAAATGCTGATCTGACTTGACTCTCTTTATATCTTCTTATCTATGTATAAGCAGCGATTTGAAAAAAAATATGATATCGCATCATTTCTATCTTCATATCTGTGTATAAACACCCACTTAACAAGTAACAAATGGTAATAATGTTTATTATATTTATATATATGGCCATTAGATGAATCAAAAGAAATAAAAGAAAAACATATTATACTGAAGTGTACTTCGAGGACGAGGTATATACAGGTCGTGCCGTGCTAGATTAAGAATAATTTTTGAATTAAAATTAAGTTAAGTTTAGTAAGTATTTAATCCATTTGTGAATTACTTTTGATGTCTTAAGAATTGTTAATTCGTTACTACTTCCTGTTTCTAAAGTATGTTATTATATGTATATTATAATAAATGTATTAAAATAACGCTCTACTGCTAAAACGCTCCCATTCGTTTGTGCAGTGTAAAAATCAATGTAGGTGCAGAGCGCGAGAGCTTCCGCTTGAGTCGTTTCACGAGTGAAGTCAGTCTACGCGTGCTAAGATGTCGTTATTCCGTCCATTGTGGTGACTCTGCTGGTGCACGCAAGGAGGATGGTGTTGCTGTGAGGTTGTGCAGTATGTATGTATGTGGAGATGGGTAAGGTTGCTGTTGGTTTGTATAATTTGGTGTTATCATGTAATTGTGTCCTTCACATTGCACTGGTGTGTAATTGTGATGGGGGCATACTGCGGTATGGTCAAACTGTAATTACTCTATGCTGAATGTATAGAGCGTTACGCTGTCCTATTATTGATAATGATAAATTGCGCAAGCAAGAGAGCAAGTTGAACATCAGCTCTCACACTTTTACCATTTTTAATAATTAACGCTATCCTGTTATTTCCCACACAATTGGCTTATCGTGTTTTAGTTTCCGACACATATTTTTGAATGTGTTAAAGTAAGATTTTAGTTGCTTTATCTTATTACTTTTTTGCGTTAAACCGTTTTCGGCCAATTTTTTTCTGAAATATATTTATAATGCAAATTTAATATAAAAAAACTGTTGAAATGGTTTTTATAATGATTTTTATGATTTTATTTAATGGTTATTAATTTTATAATTTGATTGTAGATATTTAAATGTGTTGAGAGTTGTTCAATTGTAAAAAAAATAAATGCGACATTGGGGGTAATCTTATAAATACTCCGAATTCAAGGAAATTCGTTTGAGTACTTGGTTATTCTTCACATTAGCAAGTTAAGTAAATTTCCACAATGTCTCGCTTATATTTGCTTATTATGTCTTGTGGTTAGAATATGTGTGAAGATATTTTCTGTAAATATATTATTTTAAATTAGCTAAATTCCTTTTGTAATTTGTCCCTTGTTATGAGGAAGATTTTAACAGCTCCTTTTAGCTTAATAGGACAATTTAAGTTTATTTATGAACCAATATGTTTTCCCTAGTTCTTTCTTTAATTTTCAATGAAAATAGCATCAGAAGTGGGATCGCCCGTGCTTTTTGTTAATAGTTTTCTTTTAAATATTACAGTGCAAATTATTTCAATATGGATTTGGAATTGGTGAAAGGGCTATTGGAAACCATCCGAAATGCAATGGTTTCAAATAAGCGGCACGACTACGTCGCGGTGCCAATTTTAGATCCGGACGAAAGCAACGACGGAGCAGCTGCCTGGTGCGAAAGCTTCGATATTATTTGGGAGACGAGTTAAAATGGAGCAGCTTTGAGAAGGTTGCAAAAGACCGGTAAGGCCCTTCGGGACTCTGCATTATCCTAGTTTGAAACTTGGGAGCCTGAGATGTAGATCATGGTAAAAATTCAAAAAAGATATTGTCTGTTTACCCGGTAAATAAAAATCTTAGTGATAAACTGTTAAACGCTGTGTTAAACACATCGGATTCCGCAGATTCTCTTGATGGTTATGCTATGTAGAAATTAAGACTATTAAAATCCACCTAAATATGTTTTACTGAGTGCCAACAAATAGAGCTTGTTTGCGGTGGAATTAGTGACATAAATTTAACACATTGAGCGCTAAAAGCGTCATAGTGTAGTCGGTGGTTACCATACAAATAGTGTGCTATGCATTACGTTGCTGGCACCCACTAGAAAAAGTATCCCACGGATGCCAATTTACGCAATAGTACGTATTCGTAATATTGCGTAGGTTGGCATCTCTGTTACCTATTTTTATCCTGCTTACTCCTGCATTGCTAGGACACCCTCCCCACTGCCTCTGCGCCCCCGTTGACCAATAGATTATTGCGTCACTTTAGCATCGCGCCACCCGCACAGTAAAAGTGACATTGAAATGGGTGCTTTATTCAAATGCCACGCGGACGCAGTAAAACTTGTCGTATTCTGTGCGGTCGCCACTCTTTGCGATCATCAGAACGACCGCCTTTAAATGAAAGCCAGCTTGCTAGAGTATTACAAGAAGAATATTCAGACGATGGGGATTTTTCATCAGGATCGGGTGACAACTACGTTCCTGAGCGCGACATTAACCAGACTGAATCAGAAAGTAGTGATATAATATCTCAGTCTGAAGAAGAAGTAAGTTGCCTGAACTAGGGGGTGGGAGGTGATGTGGGGGGAGGGGGAGGAGTTATAGTCATAGTATAGTTATAGTATAGGAGTTTTTATTTTGTAAATTTTTTGATAGAATCGGGCGTTACCTTGCGGAAATTCTTTACAATAAAGACATTAATATCTAATTCGCAACCATCCGTTTAATTAAACACAATGATGTGTCTTACCTGGATTGAAGAGCAAGAGATTTCCTGGAATAGTGGTGTTGGGAGTAGTAGTGCCAGGAGTAGTGGTGTTGGCGGTAGTGGTGCTGGGACTAGTTGTGAAGGGATTAGTGCACGCAATTGAGGGAGGGCGGGAGGTGCTCTTTAAAAATATACTAAAATTATTATCGTAGTAGTTGGTCTTGGTATTTAATTTACATAATATGGCTTTCTTGAAGCGTCATGACCATTGAATTAATTTTTATCTTTATTCTCAAGAAGTCTAGTAATATTTTTGTGCGTATATATGTAATCGTATACTCGTATGTCTATTTCTATGCTACGCTTTGTATTCTAGGCAGCTTGATGCATTTTAAAATTTGCTTCAAAAACTTACAGCTGTAAGTTACAGTGTGTATATTTTTGAAAAAAAAATAACTCATTGATATATTTTTAAATTTAATTCAAGCGTATTCGTACCAGTTTATAAGTTTAAAAATAAATAAATTATTTTTTCTTTATTTATTTCATAATTATTTTTTCGATTCAAATTTTAACATCCTTTGGCCCGACCGAAACGGGTTGTTTGAAAGTTCGCTACGTATATGGAGATTTATTTTATTTACAGTGCATTTTCGGTGAGTTTCAAGATAATTTCCCCATGTTATAAAATAAAATATAAAGTCCTGTAAAATATAATACAAATATAAATTGTGCGCGCTCACAGAAATCAAAATTTTTGTCAGGATTAACCAGCCAGAGAGAGATACATATAAAAACTTGAATCTACTCTCTAAGAATTCGGAATGAGATAACTTATTACCAGTATAAATTATTTATAATAAAAATTAAATACTATAAATATTTAAAAATTAAAAGCAGTCTTCAAAGAACTAGAAATAAATAAGTTCATATTCTGAAGTTAGTGCTAACCCATAGTATATAGATGTGTATTATATAAAAAAAATTATGTATGTAACTGGCTTGTCCTCTAGAAATAAATGAATATATGTCACAGTGGTTGGTTTTTATTTCAATAATTTCATTATTCTATATTATGTGTTAATTTTCATCTTTTATTTAGTTCATGTAGTGAGAGCATAGTTGGGAAAATGTAAAATTTTGCATTCACATTCCACATAGAAATACACAGGAAATAAAACTATTCCTTACTATGCCGCAGGTACAAACAACATGAAGCTTTGGATGCAAAATGAAAGGAATGTCATATCGCTAAATGATTTTCGCAACTTCACTATAGAAAACAAATGAAAAATGTGTTCGAAGTTGGTTCAAAAACTTTGCTACCGACTGCAAACTTATTTGATTGTCGTTCCTTTTATATACAATAAGGATGAAAAACAAGCTACGTGATAGTCCACCTGATGCCGAGTGAATGCAGTGTGTCTCTTTCCTTTTTAAAATTTTGGACAGAAATGTTGATTGTCCTGAACTACTCGGTGAAATAGACAAAATTGATCCTGCAGATCTTTTAATGCTACATCACGTGAACATACTCGTACATCACATAAAAATTGATTCATTTCATTTGAGTGTTCTCAAACTAGAAAAATGTCGAAGCAATTAGACCTTCACTATCTGATAAATATTTTTCATAATATTTTGTTAAATTTAACGTGCTGTTATTTGCCTATACTTTTCTCGTTATCTTGAGTATTTTGTAAGTGTACGTGCTGTTATACACTTTCTTGTTATTTTAAGTATTCCATAGGTGAAAAATTGTAAATGGTCTTAACTTTTTATTATAATAACTTTTAAAATTTTTGTAAATTAGCTAATTAAGTACAAATTTTTTTAAAGTTTTATATTATAATAATCACAGCCCAAACAGTTGTACGTAGAAGTGTGAAAATCTAACCAGAGTACCTTTTATTACTTAGGCATCCGATAACAAAGGATTATTGAAAATTCTAAGAGGGTGAAATACAGTTTTGGATGCATCGCCTTACGGGTGGGGCAGAGGCTGTTCAAATTTGCATAAAAATGCAATTAATGATATAAAATTATAAAATATATAATATTTCTGTGCAAGTGCAATTGATGCGAAACGAGATAAAAAAGATTTTATATACATAAGTAATTAGTTAAAAGTTTAAGTTACAAGAACAGCCTATATACGTCCCACTCCTGGGCACAGTCCTTCGCTCATTTCTGAAAGGGTTTTAGGGCATGGAATTGTCCAGCGCGCTGCCTCAATGCGTGTTGACGAACTCCACATGTCTTCAAAATATTTTTTTCTCATTTCTCTGTCATGCAGATTTCGTCACGATGTTTTCTTTCACCGCCGAGCACTCACGAAATCAGCACTTTAAATTGCAATTAACAATTTCATTGACGCCGGCGAGGATCGAACCCGGTTTGCTCGCGTACTTGAGAAATTTGCAGCTAGCGCTAACCATCTAAGCTACTATGGCTTATAAGAATTTATTTATTTTTATTTATATGTCTATCAACAAGTTACAAATAACATTTAATAAGAGTTAATAAGCTATAAAAGCGTACATGACTGATAAGTCCCGGGTATGAGATGACCGCTAACATGCTGTTTTCAAATATTTCAATGTTTAATTGTATTACTTATTATAATGTTATAAATAAAGGCTTAAAAATACTGAATAAAAATATATAGTTCAATTCATCTCGTTTACGTCAGATGTATAATACTTAAACATACGATGGGCAGTATCTTCAAACGTGCGAGTCCTCTAGCACTGCGCCCGTCATTCTGCACGCCAAGCATGAAGAGTATTGCCAATTCTCTCTACAATACGAGTAGTCCTTGTCCAGCAGTGTACTTTTAAGCTATAACGATAGTGATACATAAATGAATTAGTATCCATTGCAGTTTATTAAAGACCCCTGCTGAACTTAGATTGCCTCATAAAGGGATATTGCCACATTTTCACGCTTGGCAAGCGGTTGGCAACCGCAGTTTCTTATTATTTAGAATTGTTTGCATAAAATGCATGTGATGATATGGGGTAGTGGATATTATTACACCGGCACTACACGGTTATTAAATAAAGTTATTGTTCTCAAATTTTATTATTATTTGTTTCAAGACTGATAGACCAGTGAATCATACAATTAATGATAAATAGATACCTGAAATCAACATAAAGTAAATATATATATATTGATGCTTCTTACAACTACGCTGGAATGCCTCAACTTTACCTACAACAATTATACTTTACCTATAACATATGAAGCCGCAGGCAAAACTTAGGCATGTACGAAACTTTACACGTGATGGAGCCATGCTGCAGCTATATAATGGCTGCACGTATGAGTCGGCTCGACCGGTGTAGGAACATTCTCTCACAGAATCCCAGTGACAAAAAGCAGCTTAATGCTGCTGTGTTTCGTATGGTAGGTGTAAAGAACCACAGACCCTTTTTACTGGTAACAAGGCATTCCATATCAGTTCTCAGAGGTGACAAACGCATCTACATTTTGATTATTAATCGAGGATAGATGTAGATGTCTATGGGCCCAGCATCCACTTACATCAGGTGAACCGTGTGCTCGCTTGTCACCCTTATCCTATAAAAATAACCTAAACATACAGGAATATAATTTCTTGTCGTTAATTTCAAAGTCTATAATTATGTGTTTTAATACAAAGCAGTCATAGAAATTTTCACTGCTAATTTGAAAACTCTGCGCGTATAAAAATAAACTTTACAAAGTAATCATAAAATCGGAAACAACAAATACAAAGGAAAATAAATCTTATTGCTAAGGTTCAAGCTCTAATCTTCACGATTGCTACATATAACACGACCTTAAAGTTAAAGTTAACAAAGCTTGTTGGAAAACATAGCTTCATTTTTTATTCCAGTCCCATATCCTTCCCTTACGAGTATATATGAACAGTGTAAATGATATCCGACAAATAAATTAAATACAAGTTTTTATCTGCGACTGAAGCTTTGCTCGTTTAGAATTTAATTTAACCGTGTATATTTTTTTTATTTTCTTAGTGGCCAGTGAAAGTTTAGACGAAGAGGATGCCTTTGTAAGTCGCGGTAATTTTTTAAATACCAGAGTTAGTAAGGGTGATAAACGAAAACTTCATAGTAAGTGGATGCTGTAGTCCATATTAGACATTTACTATCGATAAATAATCAAAATGCAGATGCGTCATACCGTTACCATACTGTTCACTAGATCATAAGATAATCCACTATCTCGTATCATCTTATAGATGTCGTAAGAGAGGTGGCTAAGGGGAACTGGACTTCCGAGACATTTGCTCGCTACAATGTCCTTTCGTTACTTTTCTTGAAATGTTTGTCAGTGCTACGTCCATAGCACTATTCTCGGTTGGATAAGTGTAGTTTTTATTTACCTTGTTTTATTGATATTAAACTTATAATAATTTTGAATTAATGTATTACTGTTTATATTTTTTATCTATATTTATATTTAATTATATATATTGAATGTTGATTGTATCTGTTAGTCGTGTAGTGGTGGCGCAGGAGAATCTACTACCCCATGTCAAACCATGGGTTTTGTAAAAGGTGACAGAGAGACATGCAAAAGGGCAGCAAATTAAAATAATAACGCACCGCGGGCTAAACCGTATGCCAAGCGTGGCGATTTTGGCAAATACTCTTTCTATCTTTCTATAGGGCAGTCTATGAGGATTGACTATGTTAAGCAGTGGACTTATGATAGGCTGTAATGATGATTATGATGATCCATGATAGAAACTTAGGTTATCGTTATATTCTTTATATCTAGTTACAAAGATCGTTGTGTGTTTCGTTTTATATTAAACAATGATTTTGCAGAAGGAACATAGTTTTA